AGATAATACCAAATCATAAGATAATGGAGAGATATCATAAGAGATATAAGGGCTATATTATGCGTCACCACAACGGGTACGAATGGATAGTTATATTCAAGGAGGGATCATAATTGTATAACCATTTACTTGGAAGCAGAGGAAGAAAATACCCCAATTGACTAATTATATTACAAAACGAATAATCTAGCACACGTAATTGGGCGATAATGCGTTGAAAAGGGCCATTTCATTCAAGGAATAGTGGGAAAATGGAACTCACTAGTCTTTCCGATACTTTTTTTTTTGTTGTTCAGCGATGCCATTTCCGCATTAGTTGAAAAATCACTAATAGAGAAAAGCATAAAGTTGCCCTCTCCATTGGCGTTTAGTTTGGCCCTGGCACTCTAAGTCTCACCTAAGATACCTTCACGCCTCTAGCCGAGCACTATTCGAATTAACCTGGGGGACGAAAGAACCGATGGTCACTTATCTTCTCTCACCTCAAGCAGGTTAAGTGGGTTGCCCAGAGGGGAGAGTAGCTACGGTTCGTGTCTGCACTCAATTTCACCCTAGATTTAGTGAGGCTTATGTCCATATGTGCTATGCTCTAGCGCGCACCCTGTTTCGAAGCGACATGCTTCGATTAAGACCTTGCCTCTGAGTGCTCTCCCGCTTGCTTGCTGTCTCAAATGACTACTCTCTCAATCCTGCCACTGCTTTGATCTTGCGCTTGCCCCTTCCTTTCTTCTGGCGCTTGAAAATAGGATCGCTATCCTATACAGAACTAAGCAGTATGCTCAGTCCTTTCTAATTACGGTAAATACTCACTTCTTCTAAATCACTTTTAATCGGAGCATAATGAAATGTGAACCTCGAATAAAATTGGGTCTGTTGTTTTTCGATAAAATTCTTTGCCGAAAGATTATTCCCTTATCGAAGATGGCGAAGACTATCTAGATAATGACCACAGGTGGCTGGTTAGCGCCTTATTATAAGTGGGTTAGTCTTTCCATTGCGTGTGCCACTCTAAGTTCGTGCACTGAAGAAGTTTTCACTTCAATGAACAATCAATACGGTAAATCCGATAGCGAATAATGAACTTCCTCACTGCAGGTTAATCTATCATTTGAACCATAGTTGCCAAGGGTTCACACGGTATTCCATCAAGTTATTCAAGCTTTATACGCTTGCCTTCGCTAACATGCGAGATACGCCGACACACCGAGTGAACTTCGCTATTAATAAGATCCTAGGGGCCAGGCCAGCTATCATAAATACAAAACCTTACCTGGGGTACTATCTGTGCTTTATTTAGGACTAGGTCTCCCGTTTTATGCTGGAAGGACATCCTGAACCCGCGCCTCTTTTCTTCTTTTAACTCATCCACCACCGTAAATGTTGCAGTTTTATTTTAGAAGTTTCTGTCTGAGCATTTTTATTATAGAAATATGGACCGCATCCTTTGGAAGGTTGCAGGAGCAGGTTGCAGGAGCATTGCATAGTCCAAAAGGCATTCTCCTATAGGCAAAAGTGCCATAAGGGCAAGTGAAAGTAGTTTTCTCTTAATCTTCAAGAGCAATAGGTATTTGAAAGTATCCTGAATATCCATCCAAGAAACAATAAAAAGGATAACCTGCAAGTCTTTTAAGCATTTGATCAATAAAGGGTAGGGGAAAGTGGTCTTTGCGTGTTGCCTTGTTCAATGTTCTGTAATCTATACACACACGCCAACCCGTGACTGTTCTAGTGGGAATTAATTCATTGTTTTCATTTGAGATAAGAGTCATACCTCCCTTTTTTGGCACAACTTGAACATGACTTACCCAACTACTATCGAAGATTGGATAGATAATGCCAGCATCCAGAAGTTTTATGATTTCAGCCTTCACTACCTCCTTCATGTTTGGATTCAATCATCTTTGATGCTCGATTGAAGGCTTGTAGTCTAGATACGAAAGAACTACCATACTACTAATTACTTGAAGATTGGCACAATGATAAATCAGCCAGACCTAAGCAGAAGGTTTTTATGATTTCAGCCTTCACCACCTCCTCATGTTTGGATTCATCATCTTATGAGTGCTCGATTAGAAGGCCTTGTAGTCCATCTTCATCAGGATTTTGTGCATGCATACACGTCGGGTCATCCTTGTAGAATCAGAAATTGACGCACCCTATTGCTTTCTGTGCTTTCGAAGAACCTGCAACAACCCTTCCTCTTGACAAGTGTTTAAGTGAGAGGAAATAAAAAGAAAGAGTTGTTCTTCATGCTAGAAATGCATGCTTCAAAAATGAGGATGAGGAGGAAGCTGCTTCAGTTCTTGTTTGGGTGGTGTACCTTTTTTTTCTTTTTCTTCTGTTTTATTTTCATTATCATCTACGCTATGTAAAGCATTCTCTACACATTTATCAATTACATCTATTCTAAAGCAAACATCGTAGTCCATAGGAAGTTTACAAGATTTTAACACATCGAAAACAACCTCTTCTTGGCCAACTCTCAATGTCAGTTTCCCATCGTTTACATCAATTAGAGCTCTTGCAGTTGCAAGAAAAGGTCTTCCAAGGATCAATGATCCTTCTCTACCTTCATCAATGTCAAGAATGACAAAATCAACTGGAAAAATGAATTTTCCTACCTTGACTAGTACGTCCTCTACAATTCCCTTGGGGTATTTGATTGATCGGTCGGCCAATTGTAAATTGTAGGGACATCCTTTTGGGCTTGAGCTCCCCCATACCTAGCATTTGTCATAAGACATTAGATTTATGCTAGCTCCTAAGTCGGCTAAAGCCTTTTCAAAATTTAAATTGCCAATATTACAAGGGATAGAAAAACTTCCTGGATCTTTGAGCTTTGGTGGCAATTTATTTTGAATGATCGCACTGCATTCTTCGGTCAGTTTCACCATTCCTTGGTCATCAATCTTTCTTTTCTTGCTTAAGATTTCTTTTAAGAACTTTGCATAGCTGGGCATTTGAGCAAGAGCTTCAGCAAAAGGGATGTTTATTTGAAGCTTTTTGAAGATGTCCAAAAATTTCATGAAGCTTTGGTCATCCTGCGTCTTTTTCAACCTTTGTGGAAATGGAACGGGTGGAACATAAGGTTTCACTTCTTCCCCTTCCACCAGATCAATGATAGGTGCCTTTCTCTCTTCTTCTTTCTCCTTCTCCTTTTTAGGCTTGTCCTCCAATTCTTTACCACTCCTCAAGGTTATGGCTTGTACCTGCTCCTTAGGATTTTTTTCAGTGTTACTAGGTAACGTACCTTGAGTACTTGAGGTAGCTGCCATGCATGTTTGCAACGTCCCATTTGAATTGCTAGAGTTTCGTTATACAAGCTTGTTGGCTTTTGTTGTGTTCTCTTGTTTCATTCATGAAATCCATGGCGATTTGAAAGGGTAGTAAGGCGATCATCAATGAGAACTTTTCTCAGGAGGCAAGAAACTGGTGGTGCATTTAAAGTGTTGTTAAGGATTACATATGAAGGATTCAGATGATTTCTCAACCTGTTAATCTATGATTCGATCGTAATGATTCGAATATGGATAATTCCTCCTCTGTTGGTTCATCACGTAGTTCACTTGCTCCAAAGTTTGTGGATTTGTAGAATCTAATATGCATTCTCCAATTCCATGTGGTTCGTTACATCTGTCACAGGTTTGCATGATGGAGTTCACAGATTTAGTGGTTAGTAGGTCTAACTTTCTTACCATGTTGTCAACCTTTGCATTTCGTGCAGTGATGGCATCAATTTCATAGATCCCAGCAGTTTTTCTTCTTTCAGAACTACTTTGATAATGGCTATTGCTTGCCATTTCTTCTATTAAATCGTATGCTTCATCGATCTCTTTTCTTTCGAAAGATCCTCCTGCAACTGCATCAAGTGTAATCTTAATATTAGGTGACAATGAATTATAAAAAGTTTGGACTTGTAACCATTTGGGCAAACTATGGTGAGGACATTTTCTCAGCAAATCTTTAATCTTTCCCAAGCTTCATATAAGCTTTCTGATCATGATGTAAACGAAGGTCATGGTCATGATCTCATTTCTCAATTTGGTGGTTTTAGAAGATGGAAAGAATTTAGCCAAAAATTTCTGGGCTAATTCTTCCCAAGTTGTAAAACTCCCAGCTGGGTAAGATTGTAACCATGATCGTGCTTTATCCCTTAGAGTAAAAGGAAATAGTCTTAATCTAATGGCATCGTCAGAAACACCATTTTGTTTAAAAGTATCATAAATTTCTAGGAAATTAGTGATGTGAGCATTGGGATCTTCACTAGGGAGTCCCCCATATTGAATAGAAGTGGAAAGCAACTGAATAATTGCTGGTTTGATATTTTCAAGTATTAAGCTTCCACTCCTTGGTCTAGTGATGCTTGGAAGGTAGCTCATTAAGAGAGGGCGTTGTAGTCTCTGCAAGGTGCGAACATTTTGGTTGTTTGTCCGTATCTAGGATTTGCGGAGCAAGAGGTATGTTCGGAAAAAAGTTGGGGGGAGGGAAATTTAATGCCCGCCCCGTTTCCCCCCAAAATGTTTGATTGTTGCCTGCTTGATCTGTTTTCTTGGCCTCTCCTTGCTGCGTTTATTTCTTCTACAGGTTTCTCAATTTCTGGATCAAAGATCAGAGTTCTGTTCTCCTGATCGTCTTTTGCATAAAACCCTGAGATGTTTTTTCTTTAAAAAAAAAAAAAAAAAAAGCAAATGAAATAAATGAATGTCTAAGATTAAATAACAAGATAATTCAAGTATTGATATCTTGGTATTTGCCATTCCCCCGGCAAACCGGCGCCACAACTTGACAGCTTATTTCGCAAGTGTACGATCGCTAAAAGTAATATATGATGAGTAAGTATATCCTCCACGAGGATTGTAATCCAAGACAAAATTATGTTATCTTATTATTATTTAAACGATAAATGAGGAAATTGTTTTTTATAGAAATTAAATTCAACAAGTAAAAATAAGAAGTTAAGCAAGTAATTATTGATTAAAGAAATCAAGGAAGTAAAACTATTAGGGGTTTCGATTTCACTTAATTCTATCCAATTTATTTCATTAGTTCATTAATCAATTTAATTATTCAAGTAGGGGAAATAACTCTTAATTCACTAACAAGCTCTTCCGATGTATTGCTAGCTATTTTAATTCCATTTAATTACCTATCTTTCAATAGCGCAACCAAATATAAATTAAATCATTAGGTTTTGTAGTTTGTTTATGAATCCATAAATTAAGGTTGTTAATTCATGAAAACCCCCCATAGTCAAACCATATAGCTTTCGCATCAACTTGTTATTCTCATGTGATTTATTAACCTTTTTCATATCAAAGATCCTTCTTCCGACAGTGATAATTGAAATAAATCAACCTAGGGGAAAATTCTGCCTAGAAGCATTAAGTTCATTAATAAGTCATAACTTGAATAAGGAAAAATAAATCTAATTGCATAAATTGGAAAAGAGATTAAGCTACATCAAACCCCTAGTATAAGATTTTAGTTACACATAGTACCATAGTACTTAAATAAAACTCAACAACTGTGATAAATATTCCATAGATAATGAAAGAAATAAACAAGATTAAGAGTTTAGAAATAAGAACTAGAGAGGGATTGCTTGGATGGCTTCCTTGAACTTTGCACAACTCTTGAGAGCCTAACTTCTAAAGAGAAAACAAAACTATATACAAGCTATGAGACATGGGAGAAGAGATGTAGAATATGGGATGAGATGGATACCTTTGGAAGGCTCTTTCCCTTATTTATATAGACTTCTTGAGGGAACAAGCCTTATGCTTTAATGAGTAAAGTCCAACTTTTGTGAAGTGGAAAAGTTCTAAATCAAGCCATAAATTGCTCTCAATTATGGCTATCATGACTCACCCATGTGCATAGAGTTGATCTTGGGTTTGCATGTGAAGGAAAGTTGTCCAAAGTGAGCCTATGCCAAATTAGTAGGAATTAGGTTGGCAACTTTTTTGACCTTATAATTAGGATTTCTTGCTTGGCACGGCGTGCCTGCCTGGCACGGTTCTGGCATGCAAGGCTTGAGTCCTAAGGCTCTTCAGCATGGGCTGTGTTGTTCAGCACGGTCTAGGAAGGTATAAGCGCGCACAGGCCGTGCCATTGCGGCCTGGGGCGTGCAAGCCCCTGGAAGTCTGGAACATGTGTAGCACGGGTGTGCCTCAGCTGCACGGGCCAAGCTTCTATCTCCAGCGCGCGCACGGGCATGTGCCTTGGCACAGTCTGAGGCGTGTAAGCCCCTGGAAGTCTATGGCTGTTGTGGCACGGGCGTGCGGCTCAGCATGGGCTGGGGCGTGCACGTCTCTGGATCTTTGCTTATTTTGCCTTGCACTTGGCACGACCGTGCTGATCAACATGGGCGGGAACGTGCTAAATATGTTTTGCCTTTATTTTTGTTCTTTTCTTGCATAATCCTACAATTTTCCTCCAAATCAAGTGAGTTGTGTTTCAAGGAATTTGCTGTTTCAGGAAGCTTTTTAAATAAATATAACCACATATTATATAAAACTAATCTTTTTTTTTAAAAGCTCGATAAAATATACCTAGAATCTAAGTGACAATTAAATAAAACCACTACTAACATGAGTGCTATCAAATCCACACCTCTCTAACGTTTTAGTTGGATTACGATTAGGTTCTTAAAAATTATCCATTATCATTATTATATATTAAAAATATTAATTAAAAATAATTAATTTAGCTTAATCAAAAACAAAAATACAGAAAAATAAAAATTTTTCTAAAAAAGAAAAATGGAATGCTGAATAACAGAGTTGTTTTTCAACTTTCATATATATATAATAATAGTAGTATATATCATATATATTATAATATATTGCAACGACCCATTTCCATGGCCGGCACCGGCACTAGGACTGGGTGGGGCTTAAGCCCCGAAGCCCGTAGTTAAGCCTAACTTATTTAGATCTCATTTCTATTCCATAATTATGGATTCAGGCCTTAAACTTATTTCACATATGTATCCAAAAATATAGTTCATATATTTAATGGACTTTTATTATTTTATTTCAAACCCACTGTGAATAATCTGCAGAACTCTACCTTTACATTTTTACATCGTCATTTCTATCATAACAGTCTCTAAGATTAGATGTCTTCAACTCCATGGATTTTTCTTTCTTCTATTACCTGAAAAAAAAAAAATAGGTAGGCAGGGTTGAGCGCCAAACTCTAAGTGGAGTAGGGTTAGTTAACCCTCTCACCCAACAATCACACAGATGCTGAAAAATATTTTTCATCGGTCCACTCGATTAATTTTTATGATCATGCAGTAAATGGCAATACAACAGCAATCACAATTATTATCACCTTCATATAATCACATCACGTGGAAATTAGTCAGTGGTGTCACCTAAACCCCCGACGAGCCATCCTCCCACACGGCCCATCCTCTCAAACGTGTGCACCCAGGGAGCCAATCCCCCATATCTGGCCGACTGGTCTAATCCTCACATGATCAGTCCTCTCATTCTTTTTACACTCTCTCTTTTCTTTTCCATATCATCCATATCATATCATCAGGTGCACACGGGGACGCTGATCTCCCATTTACCCGGCCGACGGTCCAATTTCACAATTTCATCATAATCAGGATCCATACTTTACCGACCGTACTCACAAACCCATGGTGACCCATTTCATCCCAATTCCACACAAACAAGGCACAGTATATTCATAGCACAAGTAATCAGCACAAGTAATACAAAAACAATTTTTTAATATGACAAATAGTGCAACATAATATGGCAATTCAACAAAATAAGGGATGATAAATTTAGCCGTGAATGCAGAATGCAGGCGGATGATACTAGTTATCTAACACTACTCACAGTTTCTTTATTGTCCTCTAAAGGAGACTGCTTTCTAGCCAATGCTTCGAGCCTTTGTCCTTGCATTTCGGAATTTTATAAACCTTAACATAAACAATAAAATTTCTAAGTAAGCTTTTTAATTCAAAAAGATTAATATTTCATATTTCGTTCATTAGTTTTGGTTATCAGTTATTTAATTCACTTATTAATTTAAAATATATATATATAATAATTTATAGAATATATTGGGGTTTTCCTTATTTATTTTCTATTCTAATGTAATCATTTTAAATAAAGGTTTAGTTTATTTGTTAAGTAAAATTGTTATGGATAATACTAATCAAAATATTAATATTACTAATATAATAATATAAATATAATAATAATAAATAATAATAATAATAATAATAATATAATAATTTTAGTCCGATATT